TGATTCAAATACTCACCTTTTCCAAAACACCCTCACAGACCCACCCCAAAATAATGTTTAACCAGATATCTGGGCATCCCATGGCCCAGGCAGCTGACGCATAACATTAACCACAACAGACGGATGGCGACTGAAACTGGAGGGCAAACAGACATGACCCAGCACCAGGAGGTCTCCCTCTGCCCGCAGTCTCTGGAAGGGTTGTGAGCTTTCATCTTTTTGTTCCCTTCATTTAGAGGTGGGAAAGGGAGGTTCCATGATGTGGAGTCATTTCATTTTCCTTATCCAGACACCTTGGCAATGCACAGTTTATTCTCATCATTTGCAATAGCTGTCTTCTATAAAGTCTCCACAATGGAGAATCGGTGAATACTGAACCACTGCATACAAGGGAAACACAAGGTTATTCTCCTGTGAGTCTCTGCTTACATGTTTGTCACTTGGTCAATCTGTACCTCATTTTATATGTGTTTCTGTTTAAAGATACCTTGTTTAATATATATATTGTTGATCCGTTAACATTGAGTTCATGGCTGACAGCACTACAATGCACACTTACACGAAGTTTATCTAACACACATTTTTCTCCCTAAGGCACATCACACAGCCTTCTTGCTTTTAGGAACAGGAGCACGTGCTTGGGGGCCATTTTAAACAGCAAAATCACCAACATAAAAACTCAAAAGTGAAAAAACAAAACAAAACAAAAAAATAGCACTGGCCAGGCTGTGAAAAGGACACTCGTTTCCAGCATGAGAGCAGAGCATTGCGGTGCTGGGCGAGGCCGGGAATGCTGGCACTGGGCTGTTCTAGGAGTGTCCATGAATGACCACAAAAGCACCACGAGGGCTGAGTTTAGGATCACAAGTACTTTTTAGCAAGTAGGTGAATTCACAAATGTGGAATCCATGAATATAAGGAATGTCTGTATTTTCAAAGCCGGTTACTACAATGCGGAGTGGGTTTGTGGCGACTCGGTTCTTCCGGATGGATTAAAAGCTGCTAGCACCAAACCCTAAATAAGCTGGGGCCATGCTATCCGGGAGGGGAAAACCCTCTCGTTTTTCAGGACAGACCTGAACATCTCCATAAGAGCCAGATTTGATGCAACTCAAATAGTGCCACAGTGGGAAATGGTTGCTTAAATTTAAGGCAGTCAACTACAGACTATTAACAATTAATTACAAAGACATTTAGCAACACACAAAACATACAAACTACAAATATATAAGGGGTCTTCAAAAGTTTGTGGAAAGATTTGTATTATCTTTTAATTCCATTTTTCCATGAAACTTTAAAAAGTACCCTCGTACACCCTAACTATATCTACATATTTGTAAGTTTGATGGACAAAGATTAGACAGGAACACATATATATATGTAAAATAAAAACTGTCTGATTGGGTGGACAGAATTATGGATGGGATGTCTTTTTTTCCTAAAATTTCTTTTAAGTAACATTAAATGATGATGTGAAAGGAAGTCAAAGGGCATGTGAGGAATAAATCATTTTTCTCTTTAAGCAATTATGTCTGCAGCTCAGAACCATAACTTTGAGAAGACCTTTATTAAGCACAGATGAGGAAGGTCTTAGAATACATTATATAAATAAAAGTCATCATCTTTGTTTTTATGTTCATTTGTTATAATTAAAAGCACCAAGTTCATTTCAAAATTTGTTGTACACTTTCATATCAACTAATGAAAAGAATAACATTAACTAATGACAATAATTGAACAATATGTATTTTCTCATAAGCATTTATTTTAACTTGCCATTTTTTGTGTTTCGCCTAACAGATATTTGTGTATATTTAATTTTACCTTTTTTGGTCTAAATTCTATGGAATAATTTCTTAAGGAAATGCTAAGTAATGTTTAAGAAGCTGCATTTGGGAATATTTATAGCAATTTTGACGGAGTGTGGAATGTCACCTCCCCAGTACAAACACACATAAAAACTAATGTTGTTTTGAAAAGTTTTATAAAATTTTGTAGAAGATACCTATCTAATTATTTCTCTGAAATTTGCCATTCAAATGCTCTTGGGTTTTGCAAGTTCATGTGGAAAATGAAAAGAATCACTATTAACAGAACAATTAAATTCTGTTCTTAAAGCTGCATAACCTCATCCAGACAAATGGAGGACATTTGTTTCCATTATTGCATTACTTTACTGATTTTTGATAAAGAGCCTTCTGGAATGGACTCTTTTCTTCCCTGCCTTCTACAGCAGAGCACCCTGCTTCAGAAGTGGTACAGCCTTGTCTGGAAGCCTCTGAGCCACTCTTACGTTGTAGGCAGAACCGAGGCTGAGATGTCATTGGAAGAGGCAGCAGAAGGCCCCAGCAGGGCCCCTTGGAGCAACAGGGCCAGGTGAGGTGAGGGACACTCCTCAGCCTGGGAATTCCAGCTTTTCAACTTTATCAGTGCAACCAGAGTGGACCAACGTGGGTATTGACTCCCTCTAAACTGACTGAGATGATTTTAAATGTCTGCAAATCCTTTGAGACCGTTCCACCAAGAGATGGTGTTTAATTCCCCTCCCCTTGAATGTGGGTGAGCCATATGAATTTGCTTCAGTGAAGCTGAAGTGACGCCCCATAACTCTTAAGACTAGGTGATAAGAGGTGTTCACTTAAAAACGACCCTTAATTATTTTGGGGAAGATGATACATTCTTAAACATCTTGCTCTAGGAGATAAAAATGGGTCTTTTTGCCAGCTGTTGCTCCTAAAAATGTCAAAATATGCCCTGCCACCCTTAATTGCAAGTTTTAGTTTAGAGGAGGCAGTCTATTCCAGCTCCCTTTCAGCTGACTACAGACTTGACAATCCAGAATTGTTGTGTGCTTTAGAATAGGTGTGGAGAGTTATATTAGTTAGGGGTCTCCAGACAGACAGAACTGATAGAATATATATAGATATAGATATATAAGAGGGGATTTATTAGGGGAATAGGCTCATGCGATATGGAAGCTGAGAAGTCCCATGACAGGTCATCTGCAAGCTGGTGACCCTGGGATGCTGCAGTGTGGCTCAGTCCAAGTCCAAAGGCCTCAGAACCCGGGGGAGTGGCGGGCAGCACTAGTATAAGTCCTGTAGTCCAAAAGCTGGAGAGCCTGGAGTTCCAGTGTCAAGGACAAGAGAAGGAGAGTGTATCCCAACTCCAGGAGAGAGAAAGGAAAATGCCTTTTTGTTCTATCCAGGCTCCCAGCTGGTTGGATGGTGCTTGCCCATACTGAGGGTAGATTTTCCCACTCAGTCCACAGACTTACACCCTAACCTCCTCTGGAAACACCCTCACAGACACATCCAGAAATAATCCTTTACCGGTTCTCTAGGTATTTCTTCATCCAGTCAACTTGACATCTTAACCATCATAAGAGTTTTTAAACAATTGTATACTTTCTGGACCCCAACTCCAGGAAATCCTGATACCAAAAGTTAGTGGCCTAGGAATTAGTAGTTCTTAAACATCTCTTAGAGCTTCTGAATTGAACCAGGCATAGGAGCTGCTTTAATTGACACACAGATGCACTTAGGAGCTTTTGAGTTGGCCCCACTTCATTAAATCCCCAAAGACTGCTCCGCTTTTCAAATGCTTATGCCCTCTTTTTGCACTTTTTCTCTCTTCACTTCTGCACTTATTTCCACCTCCAATTTCCTGCCTCCTTCTTCCCCCATACTGCTCCACCTTTTTTTTTTTCCTGGTGGCTGGCCACTACAGGGATCAAATCATGGACCTTGGTGTTATCAGCACCACACTCTATCCAACTGAGTTAACCCGCCAGCCTTCAAATCAGCTTTTTGAGGTTAGAAAAATGCATGTAGTAAATAAACTGCATGAAGAGCTGAGATTTCCTTCTGTCTCTACAGTGTCTTTCCATGTATGAATCTGTGACATGTGCTTTGGTAACCTTTTCTAGGTGTTTGGCTCCTGTTGCCTTGCTCTCTAAAGACAGGCTCCATTTTCTTAGATAAGTTTCAGGTGACAGTGCCCACAGTGTATCTATTAATAGTTTAAAATTGTCATAAATTATTATCTGGCAGTGATTCTCATATTTGCTTCACCACCTCTGCTTTAGCATTGCCAAGAGTAAATGGTCTAGACATTGTATTAAAAAATAACTTTCTCTGGGACAGGCCTGGAATTCGCTGGCACAGGATTGCATCTATCTATGGATACTTCTCCTAGGAGATCAGAAGTCTTCCTGGCAGGAAGGAATTTTGTCCCAGGAAATCTACCCCCTATGGCCAGCATTATGAAAAGGATGCGTGTTCAACGGCTCACATCCATTAAATGGGATTCAATCAATTTAGAGTGGATTGTGCATGTACTGCATATACGCAACTCATTTATAACCGAGGAAGAGAGGACCAACAGAAAGTTGCAGTTAGAGCAGACTTAAAAACGACCCTTAATTATTTTGGGGAAGATGATACATTCTTAAACATCTTGCTCTAGGAGATAAAAATGGGTCTTTTTGCCAGCTGTTGCTCCTTTTTTGGTGGGTGACATCGATCATATGATACCATTGCTTTCTGTGGCTGCATTAGATTCCCTTTCGCAGAACTTGCAAGTAGGTTGAGCGTTCCAAGCGGCTATTCCTTGTTCCTTCATCCATCCCATTTCCACGTCAGTCGTGTTGAGCAGGGATTCCTGATGCTGAGTACTTTAGGTGACCTTTACTAGAAGCCACGGGTCATTTTCTATTTCCGCATCCTTAAAAGATTAAGGTCCACCTCGGCGCAGGACCCTCCGGAGGGTCACGCCCCCCGCGCCGCAGCCCCGGGAGCCAGCGTTCAACAAGCTGAGCTCACATACGGCCCGGCTCTGCGGCCTTCTGGGAACTGTAGTCGACACTTCCCTCATCCCCGCCGCCACGGCAGCGCCCCAGACTACGAATCCCGACAGGCCCTGCGCGCCGCGCCTGCGCACCTGCGGCTGGGAGGGGGCGAAGGCGCCCGGGGCGCGTCGCTGCGGGCTGTGGTGGCTGTGGCGGCAGCTGTGGCGGGCAACATGGACAACGCCGGGAAGGAGCGCGAGGCGGTGCAGCTGATGGCGGAGGCCGAGAAGCGAGTCAAGGCTTCCCACTCCTTCCTCCGAGGGCTGTTTGGGTGAGCGCCATACCGCGCGCGCCCTGGGGAACGGGGGGGTCTCCGTACCGAGCCCCCTTCCCGCTGCTGACCCCGGAATCCCCCACACTCCCCTTGGATCCCCCGAGCCTCCCACAGGCCGTCAGCCCTCGGCATCCCCCTGGTCCTTCAAACGCCTCAGGGGCCCTCAGCCCCCGTTCGTCCCCCGGAGATCCTCCTAGGTTCCTCAGCGCCCCCCAGGATCACCCTCAATGGGTTTAGGGGCCCCAAGCGCCTCCCAGAGATCCCCTAGAGCCCACAGCGACCCCTGGGTCCCCCAGAATGCCCAGGGCCCCTCAGCCCCCGCTCACCCTCCAGAGTTTCCAACACGCCTCCCTGCTATCCCCAGAACCTCCCAGGGGTGCTCCGTCCACACACACGCTCCAGAGAACCCCGAGAGCCCCCAGAACACTCCACGCGCCTCTTGAAATCCCCTCAATGCCCAGGACCCCTCAGCCCCCGCGCGCCCTCCAGAGTCCCCCAGGACCCCCGACGCCCCTCGGCTCCGCGCTGGCCCCGCGTCGGCGCAGGGGTCCCACGGCCTCGCTGGTCTGCGGGGCGCGGCAGCGCGGGGTGTGCGTGGGTCCCCGGTCGTGGCGAGTGGGACTTACTCTTTCTCCACA